GGTACATTCATTCTAGAATATATATAGATCGGAGTGGCTAGCAGTTCTGACTGCAAAGTTAGAAGAACCGCGCATAATTGTTTATGGAAGGTCTGGTATTCACACAGACGGCTGCCTGCCGTGGAACGTTTCCCTTTTGGAGAATTCACTGCTTGCTTTCAACTAAATAGAAGATCAGATAGATTTAGTTTGGTAAATTAGAAATTTGAATCGCTGTTGTGCTCTTAAGCGAATTTTGTAGCCTCTGTTAGAATAAATTATATTATTTGTAAAATTAGAACAGTTCAAAGAAGATTGTTTTAGCCAAATCCAGGTAACTGGTGATTTTTAATCTAACTTTTACAAGTGGCGACGGAGAACGAATTTTACATATATATGTGACATTTGTTTTAACAGTTAGAAACTCTAGACATGGGATTAAATTTCATCAAATACTTATCTATAAAGGCCCGGTGGAGCAGTGGCTAGCGCATCGCGCAGCAGCACCACAGGTCCGGGGTTCGATTCCCGGGCTGGGTAAGGTCTACTCGGTTTTTCAACCCTTGATTTTTATCACTTGTGTCGATCAAATGAGTACCAAGTTCGCTTGGGGACTACACACGGGGGGTCTTGCGACAAGCTGACCACTTGTTCAGAACATATATTTACGCACCCCGGGGCCCACGGTCAAAAACGCAGATCTCGGGCACTGCAGCCTTGGCCCATTTGCGCTATTACGCCGCTGAGTTTTAGAGTTTTTTTATTTATATATAAATCTCCGTGACTTCATACTCATCAGGGCATTTTGTTTCCTATTTATCGTTAAGCCAACAGTTGCAATATTTCTTTATCAAGGTCCATGAAATTATAGATTGCCCTTTCCAAAGACAAATACGTCAGTATTTTCAGCATTGTTTTTACATTCTGAAATAGTTTCGTAACGTTCGCTTTTACTGGCGCTCTTTTATTTCTTAAAATATTTTTAAAAAAAATCCTCAAGCAAATAGAAATGAAAGAACTTTTGCAAATTTCAAGCATAAACAAAAACATAATTGATCTTAAAACTGAGATCACAAAACACATCTGCGATCATTTTAATATTGTATAGATATCTTTCTAATTTGTACTTAAATTCAATAAATGAACTATCTTAGCTGTAACCGTGCTTACATCCTCTGTTTGTTTTGAAGAAATCTCGAGAAGAAGAATCCTGTTTCTTAGTTACTCTTATTTCGACTTGTAGTTTAGCGCGAACTGAGATAAATCGGGGCTAGATTTCTCTTTAGATAACGCTTTACACTGCGTTATATTTTAACTTTTTTAGTAGCGTAAAGTACTTTTACAACTGCTGATTATATTGCGTGATATTTTGAACACTTGTAGGAATATCTACGTGGAAAATTCGAGTATTCTGTTATATTGCCTTTGGTAAGAATAAATTTTATTAACCTTTTATCCGACTTGTGCATTCATACTATGACGAACGCCTACGCCCGCTTTGTTGCTTGTAAATTAGTAATTATTATTCTATTAATTAAACAAATTTATTTCAACATTTAAAACGCCAACACTTTCATGGATGGCTTTGTGACTTCGATTATCATACTGGAACAAATTCATAGAAAAACTTCTGAGTTGGAACCTCAGGCAGGCAAATACCAGGATGCAACATGAAAAAATATATTAAAAAGGATCCGTTAGCACTAAAGTAATTACCTATAAATAAATGGTTTATTTCTGCGCAGTGCGCGTTGCGAATTAAAAGAGTAACAAAACCACAGCGCGATTAAATAAATAAATATCGCTTTTTCAAGCGGAAAGGGGAGCGCGTGATTTTAAAATTTTAAAGGAGGAAAAATCTCAGAAGTTAGTTGTCTGTTTAGAGTAGCGAATTCGCGGTTAGCGTTCTTTAGCTTTTTTGAATTACGTTCTATTGGACATTTGAGTAGTTAAAAGATAACTGCTGGGAGATATTGTAATACTGCATGATAATTTGAGAAAATGTAAGCATTTTTGTTGTGATAATAATAAATTGTTGTTCATTTTTCATCGGACTTGTGCATTCATTTCATAATGAACCCGTACGCACGCAACAATTTTTGGTGTCAGAAGTGGGATCAATCATCTGGAAACGCCTACGCCTAAGACCCAGCTCAGAAAGCTGCCGAAATCATGCTAGGGTCGGAGAGAAACACCAGACTACCAACTATTCTCCATCACAAATGCTCCTCGGTAGTGACCTTCGTCTGCCTTGTGACTGCCTGTTTGATCGACATACGGATGCGCCTTCATCGCCTGAGGAATACATCCAAGATGTCCAGTCCCGTTTTGAAGTGATGCACCGTTCCGTACGAAAGCGAGTCAACCTGGCGACGGAGAAAAGGAAGTCCAGATACAACACGAGAGCTACTAGAGATAGATCGAACAAAGGAGACAAGGTGTGGTTGTGGAACCCGATTCAACGAAAAGGACTCAGTCCTAAATTACAGTCACCTTCGGATGGTCCATATACAGTGCTGAACAGACTGAATGACGTCGTGGTTCGGATCCGTAAGTCTTCGAACTTTAAACCTAAAGTCGTTCATTAAGACAGGTTAGCTCATTACTATGGCCATAGTACGTAATGTAAATAATTGTAAATAGTATAAGACCATGGTCCTTTTTGTTTTTAAATGTGTACTTGATTTGGATTTGTATTAGATTTGATTTGCATTTAGCATTGATTTGTAATTGATAGCATTTGATTTGTTTTATTTATGCATTTATTGTTCATGTTGTTCATTATTGTAATGTAATGCTTATTAATGCATGTATGCCACAGTTGTAAGTTTAGCTTCCTGTCCAGGGATTGTACTGCCCGGGACGTGCAGTCCTTGGGAAGGGGGCAGTGTTACGAATTTGGTATTTAAAAAGCTAATGTTAGTTCAATTATAAATTAAATGGTTTATTTCTCGCGCAGTGCAGCGCGTGACGAATTATTAAAAGAAAGCTAAGCCAGGAAAATTGAAAACACAAAAGCGCGTGCATTAAATAAATAAATATCTCTTTTTGATTTCGAGAAAGAACTGGAAAATTCTAGCGCGTGATTTTAAAATGTTATAAAAGGAGGAAAACATCTCATTTCGTAGTAGTTGCTTAGTTTTTTGTTTAGAAAACTGCTCTTGTTGATTGTAGCGAATTCGCGGTTTAGCGTTCTTTAGCTTTTTTGAATTACGTTCTATTGGACATTTGAGTAGTTAAAAGATAACTGCTGTGAGATATTGTAATACTGCATGATAATTTTGAGAAAATTGTAAGCATTTTTGTTGTGTGATAATAATAAATTTTTTGTTCATTTTTCATCGGACTTGTGCATTCATTTCATAACGAACCCGTACGCACGCAACAGTATTAAATGTCTGGGCAAAACTTTAAATATATTCGCAAATCACCCCCCATTTCCTCAAATACTGCTAATTAATGGCAATATCTTCAAAAAGACTGTTATCTACGTAAAAAAAAAAAAAAAAAAAAAAAAAAAAAAAAAAAAAAAAAAAAACACTTATTTCCGCTTGCGGAGGAAACTAAGCATAGGCACATACCATATTCAATACGACATGTTCTTTCTACCATTATTACGTTAGCACTACAGTGTAAACATGCAATGCTGACATTCTTTTGATATGATGTACTATATCCCCTCAAAGACATTTCATAACAGGGAAACCTATAGAAACAGTTTACATTTATTGTTACCTATAAATGTAATTACTTTGACAAGCTGTCTTGTAACTCCTTAAAATGCATCGAACTCAACTGAACTGCAATTTTGTGTTACTTCTATTTAAATATACTGTAATTTTCTAAGCCACACATTACCTCCAGACATAAAGTAAAGCAACGGGCTCTAAACGCTACACAAATATAGTAGAAATGGCAAGTTTATTTCTACTTGTCAAGACTGAAAATATGGCAGCACTGTTTCTATATTTTGCTTGCCGCCAATTCATTCCCTAAAGTCTGAACCACTGTATGTCTAGTACTGGTTTGGGTTTCAGTTTGTTTGATTGCCACAACACACAGGAGGGCTATCTGCCAAAAGAATGGATGCCTTCGTGGAAGATTTTCTAAGGGAAAATGTTTTGTATGTACTTGAAACACGGGGAAAACAGTAAAAGTACCCATGTAGCTAGCCATTTCGCCGAGATTCGAACCCAGGAACGAACTCCAAGTTTTCATCACTCGGACGCTGGTGGGCAATAGCAGCTTGAAAGGGAAAAGAAATGGCGACAGTAACTAATAAATAACAAATTAATGAGAGTAGACATTCTTGTTCGTTTTCCTTTCAATACTGAGATGAAATTCATCAAATTAATTCATCTCCCCTATGAATTTCATCAAAATAATTCATCTTCCCAATGAATTTCATCTTATTTGAATGAAGTGAATACTCGGCTCTTATCAATAAAAATCCATCTTTAATAATATTTATAAAATTTATTCTTTTGAAAGCACAAACATATAATTCCTATATCTTAATAAAAACTACAAGCCCAAATTTTATTTCAGATCTTTAGAACATCTTTTCCCTCTTATGATGCCATTCCGGAAAAGCAAAGTGTTTTTTAATTCACAATTCACGATCTTTTTCCTCTGATGCTGTTATTCCGGGAAAGCACAACTGTTTGTCTTTTATTCATAATATTCACCATTTTATACTGGGGTACAGAATCCTGATGACTTGGTGAAAGAATTTAGATTGGTTAAACAATAAAAGGTTAAATAAAATGCTAATTAGATTTAATTATTGATTTTTATCTGTAAGGCAGTCATAAGACGCTATGGTTAATAATCTCCAACATTGCTACATTAATTGAAATATTATAGAAATCTGCAGTTTTTTTTTTATTTCAGATTAACATCTGGCAATATCATATAGTACAGAATTATACGAATTTGAAATTTAAATCTGGCAACGACTTAAACATATTTTAAAAATAAATAAATAATCCTTAAGGAGAATATCAGGTATTACAGAAATACCTAGTGAGTTCAAAAAGTCAAGTTCCTTTAATAACGAGTTAAAGTATCTGCTGTGCAAGTGTATTAAATTTAATTTACCGAGACTCAAAATGTATTCCCAGAATTTTGACGTAAAAAATCCTGCAATGCGATGGATAGAAACCATAGTTCATTTACAAGTTTCGTTATATTTTATCAGTGGTGTAATATGCTGTCATAGCAATGACTTGGAAACATTATGTGATTTGGGCAAGAGTGAATTCATGATTGGAGAGACAGGTAAAAATTCTTCAGGCCATGTAATTTTTACGAAGACAATTACTGAGGGGAAAACTTATAATTGTTCCTTGGATTTAATAGCTCCTGAAATGTACAAATTAGTTCTAAGCATAGAAAAACTGGTGTTAGATAACACATGTGACAGTTACTTGCAATTCATCACCACTTCTACCACAGCCCATTTCTGCAAGTCGTTCACAGGGATTCATGTTTTTGGAGCTAATACACTTATATTTGAGGATAACGTAGTGAAAATAAAAATAACGAAAGGTAGCAAAGCGAGGAAACTTCCTGCATTTAGCATTACATACACAGCTGCCGAAATATTCAATGGTAGTAACTGCATTGATAATTCATCGTATATGTGCAACAACGGTCTCTGCATCTGGGGTAAACTTCACTGCGATGATTTCAACAACTGCGGAGATTTTTCCGATGAAATTTGTGTAAAAAACACCTCCCATTGTTCTCGAAATTTACCATATTTTAAAATGAATCTGTATGCTATTATTGGATTATTCTTTATTGTACCTATGATTCTAATCCTGAGTTCCTTGTGCGTTGGTGTTTGCTTGTTTAAATGGTACCAGTCAAAGCATAGCGAAGTTATGAAAGAGTCAAGAAGCTCAGAATCAGAGATGAACGTATTTAAAAAGATAAGATTTCCTAAGATTGAAAATATTGCATCACGAATAGATTGAGAAATGTTTCAAAAATCATTACAGAATTTGTTACGAGAGGTGTTAACATTCTACGTATTCATTCATTAGAGTTTCTGCTTTATTTTCCTGCTTTTTCGTATTAATAAAAATTACAGTGAAACTAAGTTATGTGGTAAATGCACCGAGTGTAGTTTGATGTTAACTTATATGTGTTATCAGCGAAGTATTCATCTGAGTTTATTGCGAATAAAAACTGTTTATCTGCTACAAAAATACTGATACTTTTATCTTTTTGATAACAATGCATTACTTAAAAGGTAACTATTATATGTAAATCTAATAATGCTACTAGTATAAGACAAGTTCCAGTCTGTCGAGTAATAGTAACAGCAACAGATGACGAAAGATCTGGGCTTTGAGAAACGATTATGGATTCGTAGAATCAAACAACAACGTATGGTAACATTGGGGGAGACATGATTGTATAACTTTGGGGGGTTTCTCTTACATGAATACCTTTAACGCTTCTCGCGTAGAAAACCAAAGGTGCCAGATATCGACGCTGTTATCGATTTTCTGGTAACCAAAAATCAATTTTGTCATGATAGCCATTTCTCAGTTTAAAAAAACAACGTATTTCTTTCTCTTTCAAAAGCGTATTTGGGGTGCTACTTTGGTAGACGGTTGCACGGAGTTTTGGCAATTTTTTTTTGGCGAGCGATACGACTTATGGTAAACCCATTGCTGGACAAGTTATGAGTAGTTTTGCCGCGAAAAAGGCCCTCTAATTTGGCACTCATAACCAACATCACTTAAGTGATGTGGAACTACATTAAGTGCGAGTTTTCGAAAGCGGGATCTTCGGCAAGTCGTCGGATGACATTTATATTCCTAATTTGCGGAGTTTACGGAGATTATGTGGCACAACCAATACCCGGATCAGGAGAGGCAGGATCAATTCCGGGACTACATGATTTGCATTATGTATGTGCGGCAGTCATTCGACGCTGAGGATGATACGTAGCCAAGAACACACGAGATGAGTACTTGTTGATGTTTTTGTAACATACATTTTCGGTGTCGTTTCGAATGACAGCCGTTCTGGAAACATTGCATTTTGGCACCATTCTTGGCGACACAAAAATCGCCAAAAATATGAAGGGGCGCCCTATTGTAAACTTTTAAACACATTTAACAAACTAAACAGTGTTTACATTTCTTAGTATCTCATTCAACATTTCCTGCATATTAAGTACTATTTGTTCTCCGAGAAGAGACACTAGAAGTAAATAAAGCACATGGAATTTCATGACTCAAGGAAGTCATAACTTAATTCAAGATTTACAGATTTTGTTCACGTCATAAAAACCTGTATGGTGGTAAGATATACGGTAAAAGTAAACAAACAGATTATTTGTAACAGAAATAATATCTCTTTCAATGAAAGAAAGAAAAATTAACCTTATTTTCTGATATATTGTAACCAAGAATTAATCTACATTAATAATCTGCTGTTTCAGCTAATTATGAGTTCATTTAAAAAGGTACGCATTGTGTCTACATAAGCTATTATTGCGACAAATACTGTATGAAATTAAATCAGAAATTTAAAATAGAAACGGATAAATTCAAGCAAATTTAAAAGCATTTTATAACTATCTCAATTTTTTTATATGTGTCAATTTCCCCATGCTTTTCCATTTTTTTAAATAGCTTATAAGTTTAATTTAAACATTTAGCCTAGTTTTATGTTGAAAAATTGTTTATGAAGTTAATTTATAATAAATATACGAATTAGCGTGACATGACCATTTTGAATTTTAAATATCTTAATCATGTGTTTCGAAGCCTGACGGGCCCCCATGATGGGAGAGCCAGCATGTCTGACACTTACGTCGATAGGCCAGCTAGTTTGAAACTCAGAGGAGGGTAAAAAATTCATATTTGAAGTTAAAAGAGTATTAAAAATCTTTACGATGTTAATTTGTTCTGTGACTGCTTTTATATGGTGCAAATTTTCAGCCTATTAAGCTGATATTACTAACGGCGTTGGGCAAGTCTTGAATTAAATGGCTTTAGTTACTTTTTTAAGTCTGCTTGTCTGTTGTCAACTACTATGATTCAAAATTATCTCTTCTACTTAAACAGGCAGTTTGAAACTTTAATTTCATGACTACCCTTTTTAAAGGCTTACTAAATCTCATCCTTAATAAGGTATATTATATATTTAGCCTTGTATACGTTTTATAATAAGTCTAAAGAAGAATCTTGAATTTATTTAGAATTATTTGCACATGGAAGTTCCTTTTTTCATAATGTAAAGCTATTATTGTTTGCTCTCTGCTATTGATATCCCAGGAAAAATATCAACCAATTGATTTGTTGTATATGTAAACTACGATATTACGTATATTAAGAACTAACAAAATGTAATAGTAACCCCGAATTCATCATATTGAAATATGCCACCAAATAGCATTAAAACACAAAATTTATTCCATGTTTTAAGATAAATAAAAGAACATTGCGGTGTCTTTTCAAAACTACAAAAATCAGAATAAGCATCTAATTGAATCAGTATATATTTAGTTAGAAATGATTAATTTATAGGTATATTAGGGAAGTATATTAGGGAACATTTGGATTTAAATATTTAGAAATTTACGATATACTGAATAGATTGCGGTGGGGAATTTTATATTATTTTATATTTTTATTCTCGTTTCAATTCTATTGTTCTGTAAACGTTGAATTTTATTTTCCTGCAGTTTAGATTGAAACTTTAAGAACCTTATTTGTAAATATAAAACAAAATATTTTGAAATAAACTGAGTGATTACTTAGCAAGAAAAGAAGATTTAAAGACTTTGAAGGATTGTCATAAGAAGAATCTGTTCCTTGCCTCCCAGGTAAGTATAGATGAATTTTAACCTGTTCAAACCTGTTTTTAATTGAATATTTTGAATTTTATTGTATATATTGTGCTTTAAGACTTAGTGCAGAAACTGTTTGGTTTTAATGATTTTTATTAGATTATTTTATTCATGAAGATTTTAAATTATAATGTAGATCATTTTAATGCTGCCGCATGCCGGCTCTCTGCTGTCAATAACATCTTTGATGGAATACCAGACATTATAACACTACAGGAGCCATACTATATTGGAGAAAATGGGGCTGGAGAATTGTTAGTTCTAAGGCGGGGAGGACACCTATTGTTGTAATTAATTCTCAGGGATTGAATTCTGTGTTGAGGTGGTTACAGATACTATTGTGGTAATTAAGGTTTTCGAAGCTGATAAGGTTTTTTGGTGTTGTTTCCATTTACTTTACCACGGTGGAAGATCTGAATGTATATTTTTTAAAATTAGAGAAAGTTTGTCTTTATATACATAAGATTTTATTGTTATTATGGATTTCAACTCAAAGAACTTTATGGGGGAAGCACAGCTTTCAGATGATAGAGGAAATTTAAATGGCGATTTTATTGTTCAAAATGATTTTATTTTATTTAATTCAGTGGATTCGAAACTTACACTTTTTTCACCGGTTGGAGAAGGTTCGACAGACGTGATCCTTGGTTCTCCGCATATAGATGTTAATAAAGTTAAAATAGAAAATCTAGACGAAACATCACTGAGCGATCACAAATATATATTAGTTGAAACAGGACAGATAGAAGAAACTGATAGAAAGAACGTGACTTTGACTAAAAATATTGAAAGGCTAGAAAGAAGTTGCAGAAATATAAAGAAGAAACTTCCAACTACAGAAGATCAATTGATTCATACTCGAACAAAAGAAGAACTCAATGAGGTGATTGTAACAACGGAAAATAATATTGTTCAGTAGATGTGCCGGTACCTGAGATGTCAGATTAGAAAGACTTAATAGGATTCTTTGGTGGAACGATGGATGGAACAGATTGAGGCGTAAAATAAGAGCAATGAGGAAGAGTTTCCAATTTAAGGATTTGGACCAAAACTTAAGATTACTAGAAAAATAGAATACAAGAGATGTTTGGCGACATATAGGAAGCTGATTAAACAAATAAAAAAGGATTATAAGCTTTTTAAGCACAAAATTACTTAATTTCATTAGTTATTTGAAATTATGTATATATATTATGTATATATATAATAAAAGAAACATTCATGTGAAGTTTGATTAATATTGAACGAATAATTTCGTGAAATACTACAGAGTGTTTTGTTCATACCGCAAAAAAATTTAAGTGAATAATTAACAAAATATTATTCATAGATTCTCAAAAAACAACATTCGCTACCAAAATGCAAAATTTTTTATGGAATATTGATTTGTACTCTAAATTATGTCTGAACTAGTTTACCTCTTCCAACATGAATATAATTTAATCTGCTTCTCATTAAAATATAATGACAGAATAATTTCTAATGGAAATGTAATTTATAAAATAATATCAGAAAAACTCCAATGAAAATTATACAGCAACATTAAAAACAAATAACTTTCTCTTGAACACATTTTTTAAATGATCCGAATTTTATAGCTTAAAATCCTCATTACTAAATTATTATATTTGTATTAAATCTTAGATTTATGTAAAGAAAGCAATTTAATTTATTTTTCTTCATATCTTTAGTAATCAGAAAACTAATATAAAAATTATATAACGATTATCAGAACAAAACAAAAAAACAGGGAAAAAGTGAGCTGAAAAACTGTTTTTGTAACATAATCTGAAAAGGGATCATTTTCTACCTTATATTATTATTTTAAATCTTTTTACCTTTCACGGAATTTTCGGGTTTCCCTTTTTTCCATGTTTCATTTTTTAACTCCCTGATTAGTGAATTTTCCTGGAAATTTGAGATTCTGGTGAATTTGATTAGCTTTTTATGGACTTTACATTCATTGCTACTCAGCGTTGATTTTTTTTAAATTTCATCGATAATTAGAAGGAAATACACAAAAAAACCTCTACGAATTCTAAATACCTTGGTATATGACATTTATTTTATGCCTGGCTAACATACATTATTATTAAAACGCAATGGCATAGTATTATTTTAATTTAAATATTTTTATAAACTTATTTTAATCTATGCTTCAGCGGGAATTATTCAATTAAAAAATGAAACATTTTCGACAAAGTAGAAAAAAAAATTGAAATGAGGTTTCAAGGAAATAAAATGTCTCCTAACAACCAAATACACTTTATCTATACAATCCAACCAAACAAAAATTA